GTATATAAAAACAGCTTTAGAAGGTAAAACTGAGAGAAATGGAAAGCGGACTAGCAAAAACAGTACTCCCAGCTTTAACATTCCCTTGGCTGTTCACGTAGTCTATTCTTCCCACGGAGAAGGAAGGTTATGCCGGTACTCAAGGCAACTGAAATTAAACTCTGAATTTTATAAAAAGAATAGGAGTTTGAAGAGATTTCAATTTGCAGTTGTTAAAAAAAAAAATAGTATTGGTGTTAGTCTGATCAGTAAAATACTTATCTGATGCCACAATTCCGTTTCAAATAAAGCCTTGGGAATACGAGGACTGAATGAAGAACCAAGACGAGAAGGTTAATGTTGTGCATTCCGCGATGCACAAAAGCAGTATTTAGGTGGGAGGCATTACTCACATACGTGAATAATAACCGAAATGAGTCATCCAACGTGATATTCTAAGCGATGATTATGATGACATGATTTACACCCTGCTCCTGACCCCGGAGGGGGTACTCCTAGGAATTCTTGGTGGGGTGTAGTGCCCGGTTCTCCGAATCCTGACTTTATTGCAGACCAAAAATTGTCATTTTCCACACCCGTTTTCAGACTAGATCTCTAAAATCCATACCCATTTTCGGACCTGGCCTAATTTAGCCTGTACCAGGTTCTCAGATAGTTGGGGAGACTCCCAGTTTTTTTCCCGTTTTATTTTCGTGTTTTCGTTTTTTCAATTCAGCGGACCCAACTATCTCAGAGCCTTGAACAGGTTAGGTCTAATTAAGCAGAAATTTTGTCATCATTACCAAGTTCGAGCGGAAACAAAAAAAATTCTCCAAATGCATTTCGAATTCGCACATTTCTATTTCGTTCTTATTCATTTGGAATTGAAACGATTAATACGTCCATTCATGTGCGCTCCCGTAGTTCCCTCGAAAACCATACCCGATTCCACACCAAAATGGACAAAGTGTTTTCAGACCAAAAGGCCCAAACCCCACCCTTCCATTATAAAAGGGAGTACCACCCTGATCCTGACCCCTTTCATGATTGTTAGAGACCAAAACAAGGTCTAAAAATGGGTGAAGAAAATAGCATTTTGATCCGGCTCATGATTCAGAGAACGAGGCGGGACACCTCCACCAAGAATTTTTAGGAGTATTTACAACTTTAACTCACGTGTCTTGCTATTTAGCGATCTTTTGATCTTATTTTTCCTTACCTAGAACCAATTTGCACGGTTTTTACCAAAGTAGTCCGTAGTCCGTATTTTATACCCAGTCCGCAGTCCACGTTTTATACCTTGTCCGTGTTTTATACCCAGTCCGTATTTTCTAGTCCGCGTTTTATACCTAGTCCGTATTTTATACCCAGTCCGCAGTCCGTAGTCCGCAGTCCGCAGTCCGTGTTTTATACTGACCGCAATCATTTGTTATGTTTTATTTCACGATGCTAGGTTATATTTTTGGAATCGATTGCCAGATTACTTTGCAAGTGCAAGAGAAGCTTATGAGTCGCTTGCCTGTCGAAATTTATGTACAGTTACGTTGTTATTGTTGTGTCCGGATACTGGGCCAGCTGTCCGGATACTGGGCAACAAAGGAGCTCTGCAAAAATATTTATTTCGCGATGGAAAAAAAGGCAAAAAAGTTAAACTGTCTTTCGTCATATTAAGGTCTAGATAGATTTTCTCTGGGCCAAATTTCAGAGCTCTTACGGTTAACAAAGGAAAGTTATTGCAATCTTAAACTGAAGTGTCCGGATACTGGGCAACATACTGACGCTATTGAGACCTGCCCATCTTGAATATAAACAAAAACAGCATCTTGTGTCCGTTAATATCGGGACTCTCGCAACAGGACCAAGCTAACCCATCAACGCCTACGAAGTCATTATTCGTTGCCATTAAATATTTCTGTTTTCTGATTCTACTGACACAGTCTTTTTTCTTAAACTTGCCATAATTACTCAAGTTAAAGTTGATACCACCTATTTTATCATCTGTTCTAAGTCACATTTGATTTAACGTGCGTTTGTGCGTTTAGTGTTGTTTCACTAAGCGCTCTAAAATGGTTGTTTACCTTTCTACGGGTCTATAATGCGAGCTTCATTTTCTTTTGGCAGAAAATAACATATGAGCTGACATATGTGAGAAAAATATCACTTGTTCCTAGCTCGTATTAGTACACCTGTGTATTTCAACAGAATTACTAAACAAATCAACTGCGATGCGTTTAGTGATACGTTATGTAGCTATTCTAGCTTACGAGTTTGTGGACGGAAACTTAATAAAGTTCTCAAGGTAATTTAACTCTTTTGAGTCTGTGGACGAAATCCAATGGACATGATGATCATTAAAATGAACACTCTTTTGCAGTAGATTTGAATGGTACTACTTCTTTTTGCTGTATAACATAGTTCAAACTTTTTAGTCTTTGAAAGAAAACCTCTCTTGAGTCACGGTGGCCACTCCAATGAGACGTCCCTGGGAGTCCTTGCAAGTTGCTTTTTTATTTTATAATATTTTACAAACTGTATTTTATAAAAGGGGTAAAATAAGTGCAGTGACAAGAATAGCCTCTACACAGACGTTGTTTTATTCGGCGAGCACGGAGCCCGAGGAAGAAAAAATTAGACGTTGTTCTATTTTTCTTTTCTTTGTTTTCGAAATCGGTTTTTATCACGCACGCTCGACGGACTTTGAGGAGAAAATAGAGGTTCTGTGAACAGGCTATGACAAGAAGAATTTCTTTCTAGCCGAAGATATCCAACAGTCACCTTCTTTATCTCTAGTTTTATTTACATTTGACTTAGGACAACTTATCTTTACAGCTCAGTAAATAAATTAACTTCCATAATTTTAGCTTAATTCTCCTAATCTCTGGAGAGCGAAAGATACTTTTAAGAAATTAAAAGCATTTCCACTAAAATCTTTTGCAGCAGCAATAGAGCCGTTCTAATATTTAGTGGCAGCTTTGTATCAGTCGTTCACCTCGGCATCCCTACCAAAGGATGGTTACTCTCAACACACAGTTTATTCAAACTTTCAGAAAAGAAAATCGTTAAGAAAAATGATTATTCTAGCGCTCAATTTGTGTAACCACTTTACTTCAACGGACTAGCTTAGAACTGAAAAGGATATTTCGAACAATCCTAAGAACCGCCGTCTGCCGTTATTTGAGTCGCCACCGACGGTAAAAAAAATAAAAATAAAAAAAAAAACCTGCGCGGCTTTGTTCCGGCTAAAGCCAACAATTTGGTAGCAAAATGAAAGATTCATTTTCAATTATTTTCTGTCTCATGCGAGATCTAACAATAGTCCAGTCATTTTATGGAAAAAAATCGGTCAACCTGCCACTAATTGCAACAGAAGGTTTTTCAACGGTTTTAGACTCTGCAATGTATCCTTATTAACATATCAAAAGTCCCAAAAAATCCCATTGCGGGAAGTTACCAAAAAACGGGATTTATTATGAAGCTCTGAGACCCGTTTTATGAGTCCATGGGAACGAGGCTGACTAAACTTTTTTTATATAAGGCGCGTGAAAAGATCTTTAGCTTAGTTAAAAGCAATGAAATTTCGAGCTTACACGTTCAGTTTTAATGTGTTCTTAATACTTTAAGTGAGGAAATATATTATTTTGGTAAATAAAAGCTGCATTAGCTGGGCGCGTATAAATATACAGTAAACCTGTTTATTTAGAGAGCTTTTTTGCGCGGTCTGTTTTGGTTGTTTGTGCTTTATAATTTTGGTTTTATTTTTCAGCTTAAAACTTAGCAAATTAATTTTGTTCATTTTGAAAATTAGGTATTTTAACAGAAATAAAATAAAAGTTTCTGTGGGAAAATTAACCTTTGCGAGTTTCGAAGAAGTCGGTCTTACAGGAGCTGGCGCCATCGCTGTTACGCATGTACATTTCAGTAAGGAGTCTTTGTGCTTGCCCTGCATGTTTTGAATTTCTGTCGAGCAAAATGGCTAGAAGACGCGATTCTTCAATATTCAGCTCAGGTCAGACGCACTCAAGAATACCTACAATATTCTTTAGTCCTAATAAAAGAAAATCGGAATACTTAAATATAGTTTTAGAACAATCATTACTGTTAACCAGGTGGCACCAGGAAGAGTGTGCTCACATGAATGAAACTTGCACAGCGATTGAGAACATCACAAACGATGCTCTCTCACGGATTGTGAAGATACAGACGCGTAATTCCTATTCCCTGAAAATTAAAGACATTGCACACTTGGGAATATTTAATTCCAGATATCTGATGTTTAAACGACGGAAAGACAGGAGAGAAGATATCAAAACGTATAGCAGTGTGCGAGACTCCGATGTCAAGTCTTCATATATAGCTTTTCCGTAGAGAAGAAGTATTTGTAAAACATTTATCAATTAAAACATTTAGATATTAAGGCAATCTGTAACTACAACAGCCTTAGGGTGACAGCTGTGATAAAAAAAGCACAGTCACGTTTTAATTCTTTCCTTACAATTCGTGGTCTGTAACTCTTTTTTGTCAACCCTGTTGAAGTCTGCGGGAAAAATTAAAAAGAAATACAGTCGACTCCCGATAACTCGAACCTTCAAGGGAACTGGAAAAAGGTTCGAGTTATCGGGAGTTCGAGTTATCGAGAGCTCGAAGAAAATAGCCGGGAGTAAGGAAAAAACAGTTTTTACTGCACAGTGGGCATTCTAATCACATTTAATTGTAAAAATGTTGAGTGAAAATTGAAAGATACTGTTAGATTATAAATCAGAACGTAAAGTAACAAAACGTTGCCTAAATAGAGCATGCATTTTACTTTTTGAGAAGTAAAGCTATTTCACGTTAGATTTGTGGCAAACAACATCCGCCTCCACTATCGGTCCACTAGTAAACTATATGCCTACAACACGTCAATGGGAAATTCAAAATTCAATGTTTCGGAGGCAGTACACTCTTTTTTCCCGACCTTTTAAGGACTCAAAACATGGTTCGAGTTATCGCGGGCAAAGGGCAAGAGTTATCGCGGGCAAGGG